CACTGAGTTGCCGCCATGTGATTGGCTGATTAGAAATTAAGTGTTAACGAGCAGTTGGACAGGTGTACCTAATAAAGTGGCCGTTGAGTGTATATACATATGTAGTAAAATATATATGGTAAAGTGCACCAAGATCAGCAGTGCAGTGGGTTGGGGTTAGCATTCCTAAAAGTGAACATTTCCTGCTCATGAGAATTTTGTGGTAAATGTGTAAACAGTTTTTTTTCTCTCTGTTGTTTCTAAGGAATGGATGGAGGCTGCAGACTGCAGAGCGGAGCTGCTCCGGTACCTGAAGGAGCACGTGCCGCAGATCTTCTGCCTGAAGAAGGAGTCCAGCCCTCAGGAAGAGGATGAACTCGCACAGAGCCGTCTCCTTTACCCGCTGGAGTGTTTCCTGTTTGGAGAAGACCCTGAAGATGGTCTGGAGAAGCTCAAACAGGGCAGCACCTCCTCTCAGCTCTGCGGACGCGTCTTTAAAGAGGGAGAAACAGTGTACTCCTGCAGGTCTGAATAAATCCTGTGATATTTTGTAATACGTTATAGCTACAGAATTGGGGTTTGGGGAAAGAGCACAATTTTTCTGCTGCATGTAGGGATTATTTTAATTGCAGGGGATTAAAAAAACTGCATTTCTTTGATCATATGATCTTCTCCCCATATTTATTTTTCTTCAAAMATGGTATTGACCCTTTGCACCCACGTGACAAAGTCACGTGATACCGGCATGTCGGACRGCAGAAGGCACGTAGCGATGTATTGAATTGAATGGCAGCGATTGTTTTTTTTGAAGTTGTTTTTTTGTTTTTGCCATGGTTTCTACTTGTTCAAGTTTAGATTATTTTTCTGTGGAAGTCGCACACCTAGTTGRGGCTCACAGACAGCGTTATTTACAGAAGTTGGACATAACTAGCTTAGAAATCGACCCATATCTTCTCCCTCCGGACGAGTTTGTTAGGTTTTCATAATGGCCAAGGTAAGACTTGCTTGTTAATGCTAATGTATTTTTATTTGCCGATTCCGTACGTGATTCTAGATGTTTTTCAAAGCGACCTCTGTCTGACGCTCGTGTTACATTAGCGTCTGCTTCCTGAGATCCCACTGAGCAGATATACTAACGTTAGCATCAGACCTTATGAATCCAGTCAGAGAGGCTTTCTTATTTATTTTCTTCATCAGATCTTCTTTCTGAGCAGTGCGTTCTCCACTCTGTGTGACTGGTTCATAGCTGTGCAGATGGATGGCTTTTAGAGCTGGCGACAGCTAGCAAGCTAACAAGCTAGTMGCTTCTCTTCATGTAGYTCCGGGTACAACAGCGCCCCGAGCTGCGCTTCTTTCTGTTCGATATTTAGCTGAAATGATCCATTCCCAGTTAAATTAAAAAGATGAACAGCTTTGATGATCAGCTGGTCTGATTTTATGACCTGAATGCGCAACTGGTGTTTACTCCATCAACGTGGAAAAAAAAAWAAAAGCTTCTCCTCCTCCGACCTTTCACTCAACAACACTGATACAACATTGAGTAAAAACAACTATATTTCCAGCTATCACTGTTGTTTATATCTTCACTATGACACGGAGTGTTGCGGGTGGGCAGACGGAGAGATTAAAATATTTTAGAACCAGCAGCGCTGCGTCTTCAGCCCGTTACTGTTCGGTCCGAAACCGGAGAGACACTCCGGTCCACCGGCCGACTGCGCAGCAGCTTAAAACTACGATAAAAGGACAAGTTTGGTTTGTTTCCTTGTCTGTTTVTGCAGCCGACTGCGCAGCAGCTGAAGACCATTTTTACAGCTAAATCAACAAGGGGGAAAGAATGATATTAGGCTACCAACTGCCTGATTCTCCTGTAGCTCAGTARTAGCTTATGGACACATGTCTGTTTTTGCCGTTCATCATGGAAAAAAGGGGCGGTCTTCTGAGGCGCGTGACGTMACGTGCAAAGGGTCAATAACAAGTSTGTGTGGTTGTCACACCCTGTGGAATTAAAATGATTGATTTAAGTGTTAAAGTCTCTTAAGATCAAAAGCAGAACTTCATCATTGATGAATCATCGCTTTTTGAAATCACCAAATACTTAAATTAAGAATACGTTTRCTTCAATAGGTTTTAATTTGACATGGCTCTAATTACACTGCAACAACTCAGTCTGTRGGCTATGTGTTGATAATAAATATTTAATGAGTAAACTCACTTAGGTTCCAGTATTTTGCTAACTTTAGAAATGATGTATGTGAAATTCAATCACTCTTTTAAATGCAAATTTTTTTTTGTAAGACTTCTTTTAATTTTTGTCCTAAAAGTGTGTTTACATTGATAACCAGATTATTTGAGTTTTTAAAGTATTAAAGCAGTAAGTTATATTACCCTAAATTAAATWAAATCAATTATAATCAATCCCCATGATGTGTTCTAAATGTCATGAGTAAATATAGATGCAAAAATAATGAAATAACGATTTTTTTAAATTTTTTGTATTCTGACTTCAGTTTTCAGGTGAAAGAACGTGAGGTGATGTCGTGATGGAAAAGTGCAATGTCCTCTTGACTTTTGTGGAMAATTCTAAATACAAAATAAAAGTTTTCATCTTATTTCAGGGACTGTGCGATAGATCCCACTTGTGTTTTCTGCATGGACTGCTTCCAAGACAGCGTACACAAAAGCCATCGATACAAGGTTGGTGTTATTATAACCATTCCTGTTCATCAGTTAGCAGCTTGTATAACTTTCCATTTTCAAAAYGAAGAATTTGTTGAAGATTTCTTCTAAGTTGAGATCCTAAGTGTCTCTGCTTTGTTAGTTCCTTTAGTCACACATGCCTCACTGATTAACATTTGTGTAAAATATTCTTAAAACTTCACGTTTTGCTCGTGGTTAATAATCACATACTACTAGCTTTTCTGTTGTAGCCTTAGTGTTGCGCAGTGTTGTTGTCCCACGCACAGAAAGTTAAACAACACTTAATTACCTCTGTGTGTATCCATTATCTCTCTCCCAATGAGTCAGAAATTTGTTTGCTTTTCTTCCCAGATGCATGCATCATCAGGCGGGGGGTTCTGCGATTGTGGTGACGTAGAGGCCTGGAAAATTGGTCCTTGTTGCTCCAAACACGACCCGGGAGCAGCCACTGCCATGGTAACGGTGAGTTACGAAACAGAGAGGAAGAAGGGGTGTGAGAATCGTGTCCCACTCTGTGTCACTGAACCTCGGAATGCTTATTTTCCCGTCTTATTAATGACTGCTGCTGTCCTGGCTGAACATACGACTCAGAGAAAGGAAAACTGAAGCACTTTGCAGACGAAAACTCCACTTGAATCCAGGAGAGTCTGGTTAAAAGTAGCTTTTCTGCATCTTTTTAAAAGTTACTGAACTGTAAAAGGATGTATTCAGTTTTGCAGCGGCTAAAGCCTGCTGATTTGTCTCTCAGCAGATGTTTGCCAGACCCCTCTTTGCTCATGATCGTGTTTAAGGTTAGCTCTGATAAGATCACGCTCAGGGCTTGTGAACAGACATACAGCTCGGCAGCTCTGTGCTTGTTTTTCTGTAAACAGCAGGTGGTCCCGTTAACATCCCTAGTTTTATTCTAACCGCTTGCTTTGTGTTTGCTTAACAAAACATTGTGATGTTTGGTGGAAAATTAGTTTCTATTGGATTAGATATTGATTCTACAAGTCCAGCTGCTTTTACTGATTATCAGGAAAACATTTTGATCATTTCACTCCGTCATCAGCTTCTTGTTTATAAAGCTGAATTCCACATTTTCATTCTAAYMCCATATATTAACCTAAGAGGTGTGTAAAATTAAACAAATGAATAGCCACAGAATTCAAAATTCAATTGAKTGATTGTTTGATTGATTGATACTTTATTAATCCCAGAGGGAAATTCAAGGCTTCCAGCAGCTGTACATTTACAGACAATAAAAATAAAAAGTAGAATATTCAAAAAAATAAAAATACCTATATTGCATTTGTGTAGAGAGAGAACCTGCTATAAATTGACCAGAATCACATGATTATTTTTCACTGTACTGAGATGAGTTAAACAGCCTAATTGCCTGTCTTTTTTTAAAGAACAAAAAAACATTATTTGTGTGTAAAATATAGAATTTCACATATCTCACATTAAAAACTTATCCTTTTGTAAAATAAAAATGCTTTAGAGTTGAACGTAACATTAATATGTCTCATTAAGAAACTTAAAACCTACAAATAGTAACAATTTGTGCACATGTGTCTGTTCTTTACTCATTTGTACTTCTGTTTAGACACAGACTCTCTTTTTRCAGTTTATGAAAAACTGAAGTTATTTTTTCTTTTTTTGTAAAGGAATATCTGATTCTGCACACACAAAATCTTGGATAAACTCACACTCCTCTTCTACTGATGTGTGGCTAAGTTCTGTGTGTAGCTCGTTTCTTCTTCTGTGTCTGATGTGGGTGTTGGACAGGAAGTGGTCATCACATGTGTTGTTACATCATGTCGATCATGTGCTGACAGAACTTACAGAAAAGGTGTTCTCCAGATTCACAGACACTGCTGGGGTATTGTTCTGGCCTAAACTTTGCATTAAGCTTCACGTTTAAACATTTTTTGAGTACTTTGTTGTTTCAGTAAGCCTCTTTGTCACGACTGGCCTATTTTTTATTTTTTTTTGTCTGTGTGGAGTGCGTTTGCAAAGCCAGGTAACAGCGGGTAGGAAGTGGCAGCAGAAACTCACCCAAATGAGCAAATTCTGTGAGATGCTGTGATTTATGCTGAATTCCATTATGTTTGGTAAATTACATGATTTTGTTTGCGTTAAATCATAGGGCAATAATTTAGGCTAAAGGTGGATTTTTTGTTAGTAATATTACTTATTGAACATAGGTAAATACTTACATGGTTAGATAATCATGAGAAATTGAATTTGACAAAAAGTTTTAAATAAAAAAAACGCAAGAATGATCTTTTTCCTTTCTGTGCAGGATGAGTGTATGCTGGAGCCGGAGTTATACGAGCGAGCCGAGAAACTGTTCCGGATACTCCTGCGCTACATCACAGACTTCTTGGTGTGGGAGGAGAACTTTGAGCTTTCAGCTGAACTCCAGCCTCGGTACGGCCCGCTCAGATCAGCTGAAAACGCGACATCCTCGACTCAAACTGAACAACGTATCTCTTGATCCTTGCAGGACAAAAGAAAATGCTTACTACTGTGTTTTGTACAATGATGAGCACCACTCATACGACCACGTGATCTACACCCTGCAGCGTTCGGTTCACTGCGGTCAGGCTGAAGCGCAAACACACACAGCGCTTATTGACAAAGAGGTATTTATTTTTGTTCTATATTCTCATGATTTTCACTTTCAGAGTATCACTGTACTGACTGGTATTTGTTGAAAAGGGTCGGCGGGCAGTAAAGAGAGGAAACTTACGCTCCTGCCAGCAAGCAAAAGAATCAATCAGGGTAAACCCTTTCCTCTGGCTCTGCTTATTTATATCTTCATTAAAAAAAATAAATACCTGCTGCATTTTAAAGAGGTCACCAATCTTTTCTTTGCTGTATTACAGTCCAACTCGGAGCACATTTCCCTGCAGCCGCTGCGTGTGGAGATCCTTCATGCTTCTGTAATGGCTCATCAAACCTTTGCGATCCGCCTTGGTTCTTGGTTCCAGAAGATCGTCGGTTACTCAGGTGTTGCAGTGTCATAATATTCATACATGAACCCCGCATTCTTAACAGTTTAAYTGAGAATATTTTTACACATAGATGATTTTTCAGGAGCCACATCATCTTTGTATTTATTGTATTGTTGTGTAACTGTGTGTCCTCTGCAGCGGGCTTCAGGCAGGCCTTCTGCCAGGTGGCGTTGGAGCCAAACCYCGACAGCGATAGCCCATGTCTCATTAGCAGACTCATGCTGCACGATGCCAGGATGTACAAAGGTAGGTTAGCCGCTGTGCTGGAATGTTATCTATCGTAGTTTGATCATGATTATATTCAACAATCAGAAACTTTTTTTTTCATTTCTTATAAGGAGCTCGCAAGATCGTGCATGAGCTGATTTTCTGTAGCATGCTAATGGATGCAGAATTCAAAAGGCTGTTTGCAATTGAATTTACAAAGGTAAGGAAGAACTGATTTATTTTTGAAACATATACATATGTTTGTTTTTAACTGATCCATGTATTATTTGTCCTTTTCAGTACTACAAGCAGCTGCAGAAGGACTTTATCAATGATGATCATGAAAGGAGTATCTCCATCACAGCTCTGTCTGTCCAGATCTTCACRGTTCCCACATTAGTGAGTTTTATTTTCTGTTGTTACATAATTTATACAGCATGARTTTGTCCTCTTAGCTGCAGCTCACTTGCAGTCTYGGTGCTAAAACCTCTRTTTATGGACATCTTGTATGAATATGAATGGTAAATGGACTGTACTTGTATAGCACCTTTCTATCCATTCAGGACACTCAAAGCTCTTCACACTAAAATCTGTCCTCATTTACCCGTTCACACAGCACTGTGTTAGGTCTYTACAAAGCTAAAATGTACAATCAGCTATGGAGACTAATCKGTGCCARTCWCATTCATATTTATACATTTTTARGGGGATTATTTCTTATGAGTATGACTACAGGCCTTATGTTGTGCTAATCAACACAAAACCTATTAGAATAATATGCTGCTTTCATTTTCCTCCTTCTGCCTTCCTAGCTGTTATCTTAGCTGCTCTGTTTTGTCTCACGCCCAATTTTACTAAAGTTTACAAAATTTACGTAAAGTTACGAACAGACAYGAAGCAGAAATATTGATAACGACACACAACAACAGCTGCTGAAGCTTAGATCCAAAAACAGTTCTGCTGCGGTGGTTTGATTKAAGAAACTCATGGCTGGGTGATCCCCGAAGGTGTCAGTCAGCATTATGTTGACACACATCAGTAATGGTACGGCGYGTCATCTGAAAATAGTCTGATGCAAACGTCCACGTTRTTACACATGGCTGTAATTTATTGTATGCATGAATCTCCCACATTATAAAAACTAGATTTGTGAGGATCAGTCGTGTGATGTGCAATACCCCCAGTCCTGCAGTGAATTTCTGGCCCTGTACAACCAAGGACCAACAATCTAATAATATCTCTTTTTGTTTCAACCTCGACCTACATTTGCTTTTATGCATTGAACAGCCTTGCTTGTTACTGATTCCACAGCAAAAGTACTTTTTTTAAAATCAGTTTTTATTCTTTGTTCAATCTAAACTGAGTGTTTTGACGCACACTCTTACGCCCTCAGTTTAAACAATTTTTTTGAGTTAATTTACAGGTTTTTCATCTCATTAAATAACTAATTTAAGTCTGTTTAAATGTATTACACGTGTCTGTTCTCCCATGTCTCTTCTCTCTTAGGCCAGGCAGCTCATTGAAGAGTGTAATGTCATTAAAGTGATAGTTGACACAGTCATGGAGCTGCTGCGGGAACATCTCGATGGCAGCAATCACTTTTTCTTCCTCGGCTACAACTCTGACAAATTCTCACGCATCCAGGTTATTTTTCACGACCTCAGGTAATAAATACGTTTCGGTTCCGCACACTTTCGTTCCTATATTTTGCAGGTTTTATCTTAAATGTGATTTGTGTCTCTCAGGTATATTTTAATCAGTAAACCGTCAGTGTGGACTGAGGAGCTGCGGGAACAGTTCCTGGAGGGATTCAAAGTCTTTCTTGGATTTCTCAAATGCATGCAGGTCAGCTTGGGTGTTGGAACATTTTAACCACGTTATGTTAACACGACAAACCAGATATTAAACCGTTCTTTATGCGTTTTTGTTATCAGGGTATGGAGGAGGTGAAGCGGCAGCTTGGTCAACACATTGCAGTGGAGCCAGAATGGGAAGCTGGTTTTACGCTCCAGATTCAGCTCCGTCACATTCTCGCCATGTTTCAGGATTGGTGTTCTTCTGATGTGAGCTGCTGTCAAATTATAGTTTCMTTTTAAACCTAAATCACCAGCAAATCTAAAGATTATTACTATTATCTGAAAAAGAAACACACTGGCTGTGAAGCTTTTAATTTAATTCATGTTACTGAAGTAGCAAGGAGAAAATAGCTGTTATGTTTGCCCTCCCTTTAGGAAGAGATGTTGCTGCTCGCCTTTAAGGAGTGCCACTCGGTCCTGAAGCAGTGCAACAACCAGCCCTTCCATAAAGAAGCCACTAACTATTACATGTGCAAACACATCGTCCAAGTTTGTCCGTATAAAGTCTCGCAGGAGCCGGTTAGCATACACCTGCCCATTTCCAGGCTGTTGGCTGGTAGGAGGATATAAATTTAAGATGAGCAGTAATTTATAAAAAAAAATCAGTGAACTAACTGCTTTGTGTTTTGTGATAGGTCTGTATGTACTTCTGTGTAAGACAGGGGCAGTTGGACGTCTTGATAATGTTGTAAGTAACACAAGAAGAGAATAGTTTATTTAATTTTTTTCAAGACATAATAAATAAGCTTCTGATGTAAAACTATCAAAAAGCAAATTCTCATTTTTTAGGAAAGCTGTGACTTCACTCTGCTGGCGGAGCATCCTCTGCGCTGTGTGGTTCTGGCTGCTCAGGTCTCAGCAGAAATGTGGCGAAGAAACGGGCTGTCACTGGTCAGCCAGGTAAACGGCTGTCTTTTGCTCGATATATTATCTGTCAATCTCAGAATATTAATCATCTTTTTATATGAACAGGTCTACTACTATCAGGATGTAAAGTGCAGAGATGAGATGTACGACAAAGATATCATCATGCTGCAGGTGTGTGAAACGCAGCTGTCGCTTTTTTAACCTTTTATTGTTCACATTGTTTTTACAGTGTAACAAAATATGTAACTTTAAATATTTTCTACAGATCGCTGCTTCCAAAATGGATCCCAACCACTTCCTCATGATGATTCTGCTGAGATTCGAGCTTTTTGACTATTTCAACGGAAATCGTTCAAGCAAAGACCAGGCAAGTGAAACCAGGCTAATTATTCAGGAATAAAGATTTTTGTGCTTCCAGCTTTTGTTCTAACAGTAAAATCCAATAACATTTTCAGGATGAGCTGATGCAGTGGAACCGTTTGACAGAGGAGATGCTTTACCTGCTGATTGTCATCTTTGGTACAAGCTGTCGATTTTCTGACCAGTTTTTGGTGTTGCTTATTGTAAAATCAAAGACGATATCTRTCAGTGTTGTGTTTCCAGGTGAGCGTTATGTTCCTGGAATCAGTCAGGTCACCAAAGAAGATGTGACGATGAGGGAGGTCATCCATCTCCTGTGCATTGARCCCATGGCTCATAGCACCCTGGTCAAAAATCTACCAGAGAATGTATGCTTTGTTCCCCGAAATTCACAAGTTTTTTTAAATGAACTTAATGACACTCGGGAGGAAGGGACAAGATTGCTGACATTTATTTTTTTTTGCTTTTAGGAAAACCATGAAACAGGCCTGGAGGCAGTAATAGCTAAAGTTGCTACATTCAAGTATGTAAAATTAAAAAAGCAGCATGAATGTTTTACTTTGAAAATATTTTTTGTGCAGCTTAAAATCTGTTTGTTCTTTGTCTGTTTTTAGAAAGCCAGGTGTGTCGGGACACGGACTGTACGAAGTAAAAAAAGATTGTCTTAAAGAATTTAATCCTTTCTTCTACCACTACTCAAGATCTCAGCATAGCAAGGTAGCTCAGTGTGAGATTAAAAGGATTCTGTATAGAGTGGCTTTTGGTAAAATGAGTTTTTCCTTTTTGAATGATCTCAGGCAGAGGAGTCTCAAAAGAAGAGGAGAACTCAGGAAGGCAATGATAAAGGTGACTGACAGGCAGCTTTATTTTTACAGACTAGATTTTAATGACTCAGCAGAGCTTAGTTTGTTTTTTTTCCCTCAGCACTGCGTCCTCCGATGCCACCATCCTTCTGTCCAAGATTTTCCAGTTTAACGCGCCTCCTCTGCTGCGATATTATTGTTTATGTTCTGAGAAACATCCTGCAGAGAGCTGCAGAGGATCAGCCAACACATTGGACTGAAGCCATGATCCAAAGGGTAAAAAAGGCATTTTTCTTATAAACAATTTTTTTTGTGAGTGTTACTGAATTCAGATGCATCAAAAGATTTTGACTTAATTCACACACAGGCGCTGCACCTGATTGGCCAAGCACTGCTGGAAGAGAAAGCACAGCTTGAGAACAACACTGTGGAGGAAGTGACCTTTGATTTCAGCCTTAAAGCCCACGGTGAGTGAAAACACTGTTATTGGCTTTAATAATTCGCCAAAACATCTTAAAGCTTTGCTGAGTTTCTGTGACACAAAGTGTTTGATCTGTTCTTGCAGTCATTGGGTCGGAACAAGGAAAGTCGGTGTTTCTCTTGTTGTCCAAAATCAAAGCTTTGCCTTCCCTTGAAGCTCAGAAAGACATGATCATATGGCTTCTACAGGTAGGCTGTAGATGATGTGGTGCCATATCAGGTTAAATTTAAGGTAATAAGGTTTATTTACAGTTTAGCTTATAAAGATGCTGTTGCATTAAAGTTTTTTTTGTACACAGGGATGCAGCATAATTACATTTATATAAAAACACACTAGGATTAGATTGTGAAATCATGTCTAGGTGCCTTATTTTTATAACAAACGTGAAAAAATGTCCACTTTTTGTCTGTTTTAACTATTCACAAGTAATGGAATTTTAAATAGACATCATCCTTTAGTGTTTATGATGTTTATTTTTTGCTGTATTTCTATATTATTTTAATTCTTCTAGATGTTTGAGATCATTAAGTGCCTTAGAGAGAAGTCCAGTCCCACGGTGTCAGTAAGCATGGAAACCAACAAACCAGAAGAGGTAAATTTAAAAAAGAATTCAAAGATACTTAGATTTACACAAACTAAACACCACGGTATAGATGAGACGTAGTGTAGTGGTGTCTTGTTTTTGACGTGTCCTTCGTTAACCCAGAGTGCTCAGGACAAAGAGAAAGCTGAGAGGAAACGGAAGGCGGAGGCGGCGAAGCTCCACAGACAGAAGATTATGGCTCAGATGTCGGCGATGCAGAAGAACTTCATTGAATCAAACAAGATGCTGTATGACAACATGCCTGAGAGTGGGGCACAAGGAGAACCTGTAGCAACTGATGAGAGGTGAGCAGACCCGTTGTAAACTTTAAATCTAGCCTCCAGAATTATTTATATCTGCTGTAATTTAATTCCCGTCTAAATTACTGCAACTCCCCACTTTTTAGCGGAACTGCTAAAATCCACCCATAAACTCCCAACTGGTCCAAACCTCAGCTGCTCACGACACATTTATTTCTTCTCGTTTGGACTATTTAAACAGTTTATTCACATGTTTAAACAAGAAGGAGCTGGACAGTTTTCAGGTTGTTAACTCACATAAACAAACTTCTCTTCACTGGCTGGTTAACGCACCCCACATTCTTGTTTTTATTGAGAGATCTAGGCTATTTTTGATAATCTAAATATGTCATTTCATAGCTTTATTTTCCATGATTAAACTGTGATTAATTCATGTGCAGAATGATCCTGTCATGGGTCATCTCGAAACAGAGTGTATTTWAAAAAAAAATATACAAGATTAGTTAACACATCCCATAACCATTTGCAACAGACTAGGGCTGAACGATTTTGGAAAATAATCTAACTGCCATTTTTTAATCTATAAATTGCGATTTAACATGCAGTTATTATTTTTTATGTCTTCTCAAGTATTTTTCAACAAACAGAAGCATTAAATCAATCTGTTTTATAATAAACAAAGTAATATTTTTAAAGCACAGATTACAATAAAGCAAACAAATCTGTGGCTTTACCTTTTCACCATTTCTAATTGTTCTTGTTTCATAAAACATGATATTAAACATTTTAAGTGAACTTCCTAAACACTGTCTGAAATTCACAGAAGTCTATAAATAAATAGAAAAATTACATAAATGTAAAAAGAATAAAGCTTACTGCTTTCCAGCCAGTAACATGAAAAAATAAAGTGCAAAAAATATAAAGAGAATAAACATCTGCTTTAACCAACTTGTTATTTTCCAGTTAAATCAAACACAAGTTGCTAGATTACATCATCATCTAATATGTTTGCCAATAATTGTGATCTGAGCTGTAGGAGAGATGTTAAAGAGAAAAAAGTGAAGAAAAACACTAAATATGTTCAAAACTGCAATTAAACTTAATGAAATAAAATTACTTTTATGACTTCAATGCTTAGATCCACATTACGTTAATTAAATTAGTGATAATCTTAAATTTAACCTGCAGACTGTTAGATATCACGAGACAGGGAGGACGAGGTGAAGAAGTGACTGATCTGTGAGTCAAACACAGCTGAGTGCAGAGATTTATTTTACAGAGACAGTACCAGAGGAAAAAAAACATGACAGTAAATATTATATCCCACTTTGTAAACAAGGCAAAAGCAGTTGCAGCTTTGCAGATACAAGATCCATTTGCAGCAGACTCCTCTCAGCTGATGGCAGCCGGGTGTGTGTGTGCGCGCTGCTGAACGAGGCTTCAGCTTAGGAAGGGGAGGGGCTCACCGCACCGCTCACTGCTTGCGGAGGGGAAGAAGAGGAAAGGAGAACAGTGCTGTCGCCAAAACTTCTAAAAGTCTCCAAAAACACCGGGAAAAGTCAACAGATTTGTCGCTAGTCGCTTTTTTTGGGGTTAAAAAAAGGCGCTAGAGGGGTCTGAAAAGTCACTAAGTTAGCAACACTGCTCCGCTCGCTTCACTCCCAAGTCAAGTGACCAGTCAAATCGCAGCCTGTGCAGTTAGAAAATCTTGTTTTAACATATCGCAAGATTATCGCAAATGCGATTAATCGTTCAGCCCTACAACAGACCAACATATAATTATTTATTTCTCATTAGAGAGATAGTAAATGAGTCTGGTTATGAGATAGTGAAGACCCTTCCACTCATTGTGACGTCTTGCCCCTGAGGTGTGACCAGACCTGGAAGATAATAGATAAAATGTGTGGATTGTTTTATTCGATACCAAAATATCCTTGGACTGAATAAAGGTCTGCAGTTTGGTCCAGCTTAAGGTATTTATATGGTTTTATTCTTCACAATTATATGTTCAAGTCTAAATCTGAACTTGTCTCCTGGTTCGTGTCTCAGTAAGRACACATTTCTTACACAACCACCAGCTTGCTGCAAAAATATGGGCTCAAGCGCTTTCARCCATTTTCAAATCACAAATTAAAACTCTTCTTTTTAAACAGGCGTTTTTAGTTTAACATTCACTTCTCATCGTCTCTATTTAAGTTATGTTATTGCGTGATGTTTTGTTCTTATTTTTGTTTATTTTATTCTTTTGTTTTTTACTGTATTTTATATTGTATTTTATTGTACGTCTTCTTCAGTGCCACGAAAGGAACCTTAAAATAAAACTTAGTATTATTATTTATTTGGGTTCTGCTTACTTCCTCAGTTGTGCCATGCAGGAGAGGGAGCTTTGCATAGCCATTGGAAGTCAAAGAGGGCCCACCCCAGCTGAGAGAGAGGTGCTCACCTGCATCCTTTGTCAGGAGGAGCAGGAGGTGTTGCCTCTGGCTCCGGCCATGGTACTGACAGCGTGCGTCCAAAGGTCCACGGTTTTGACGCAGTGCAGAGGAACGATACCGCTCTACAAAACAGATGGTAATTCTTCAGTAACKTAGATTTACTGTGAGAATCCAAGCTGTGTGTGTGGACGTTTGTCAGACATGTTTCTGGTATTTACCACTTAAAGGGTCAGGGACATATCCCCTCTTTATGCCTCCTGAGCTTGCTGTGGGGACCCACACTGGGAGTTGTGGACATGTCATGCATGCCACATGTTGGCAGAAGTGAGTTTACCAASTGAACTGAAAATCACAGCAGAGATGCTCCTGTTAAATGTTAAATGCACATTTAACCGTTGCCATTGTTCTATCATTCACTCCCACCTCCTTCCCAAGATATTTTGAGGCCGTTCAAAATACCACCAGGAACCGCCTCCACGCTGAGCTGATTGTTGATCTGGAGAACGGAGAGTACCTGTGTCCTTTGTGCAAATCTCTGTGCAACACCGTGGTTCCTCTCATCCCATTAGAGCCACTTACATTTAACTAGTAAGCCTTTTTTTATTGCCATTAATCTTCAATATTGTGTTGTTTAAAGAACGTGGAGAGAGTAACATTTTGTTTCCTTTGCAGTGACAATGCAGAGATAATTGGACAGAATTTAACATTGCCTCGCTGGATTCAGGTCCAAACTGCCAGAATTAAAGGACTGAAGTCCATCACTCAGGATAACGGTGAGAAAAGCTTATAATAAGGAAACTATATTGTCATATAGTTGTAGGTAAAATAACTAAGTGATTTGWATTCTGGTTCCTCTCATTTTTCTTGCAGACATTAACGCAGATGGCAGTAGTGGTATTGGTGGCACTGCTGGGCTGTGTGTTGATGGCCAGGCAGACTTTCGATCCATTCTGTCTTATGGCGTACAAGAACCGTGAGTGAGACCATCAGCTCTTTCCCCTTTATGTTTCCATGGAGCAGCCCAGTAAACAATCTGCTTTTRCTTCTTAGGAGAAAGTTCTCAGACAGCATCACAGAGATGCTGGTTGTGTGCGCCACCACAGTCCACAGAGTTGGCTTAAAGACGGCACCCAATGAGCTTTGTCCACACGTGCCTCTTATGGCCTGGAACACATGTGCTTTCACCATTCAAGCCATAGGTAACGACTTGGCTTTCTTTGTAATCTGTTCAGGTGTGCAGTTCATAAAATCCATCTGCTTCTCTTCACAGAAAACCTCCTGCAGGAAGAAGATAAGCCACTGTTTGGATCCTTACAGAACAGACAGGTTGGATACCACATACCTGAAAGCGCAGTTAAAACAAAGCGTGTCAGTTTTGGGGAGAATTATAACATTTATTCCCTCTTGTATTTTAGATCGCAGGTCTGAAGGCGATTGTTCAGTTTGCAGCATCGCAGAGATTGAAGAGCTCCCAGGCAGTTATCCAGAGGCATTTCACAGACATGATGGGGGGTGAGTCCACAGATGGATGTTCATTACATCAGAGTTCATTGACTCCATGTTTGTTTGACTTTGATATCATACTGAAACAATGCTTGTGCRATGTAAGATGTTTGTAATCCCTGCAGTTGTTTCACAGTTTGCGGACTCAGTCTTTAGCAGATTATTTTTGATGGAAGGTAACTATTAGTAGTTTGTGGTAAATCTTGATATCACAGGAACCGTAAATACAGTACAGCAGGGTTAATCAATTGGTGCCCAATGAGTCCCCCTCCCATTTTTTTTGTTGAATACCAGTGCAGTACATTAAAGGACATTTTTTTCTTGTGCTTTTTTGTGAGTTTTCTGACTAAATTCTTAAGAACAAAATCATTTCCTATTTTTGTAACATAAAAATTAATGTATATTCCGTTCCATATAAAAAAATACATGCAAAAAACTGCATTTCCACCGTTTAACAGTTTACTCTATGGTACCGTGTTACGTGTAGCTGCTAATTGTTTAGCTTTCGTGTTTTTGTTTGGTTCTTACTGCATTAAGATGCCACCCAAATAGGCTGGTGGCCTTTTCTGGATTGCATCCAATCCAATGTTTTTTTTTTCACAATCTGTGGTAAGAACGTAAGCCCCATGAAAATCAGTGCTTCACTAATACCTATTCCTACTCCATAAGTATGTATTAATTTACCTATTCAGCTGATAATTGAGCTGTTTTCTTACTGTCAGAGCTATATTGTCTCTCCTCAGTTTTGCTACCTGTCATGAGCAGAAAAAACACACCTTCTATCCTGGAAGTGGACTTCTTCCATCTTCTGGTAGGTCTCAATCAAAAAAATAAGATTTTTTTTATTGTATTTGTGTTGAACCTTTTGTGTACAGTCAAAAGGCAGATAATGTAGTGATGGTTTAAAAGAACACCACATTTTAACACAAAAATTTAGTATGTTTTGAAATAAAACAACTGAAAMTAAATCAAACAATGAAGTAATTCTTTATTTTACAGGGTCAAAATCTCCACGAATACAAAATTAATCTTTTTTTTTTTTGTCAGGTGGGCCTGGTGTTGTCTGTACCTTCRTTGTATCAGGAGGAAGGAGTGGACTTGCAGCCGTCTGCTATAAGTTCTGCCTTCAACAACCTGTACATCTTTCACCTGGTCACCATGGCTCACGTGTTGCAGGTCCTTTTGACTTCCACAGGTACAACAAAACCCAACTGATCCAACAATAGGACGTTTATCAGTTCACTGCAGCAGCTCTCTGGATTCAACTCACAATGAGGGCGGCTATGTTTATCTAAAAACATTTTYGTTTGCTTCTTTCAGATTTCCCTGCTGTGGGAGATGAMGAGACGGAGGAGGCGAGAGCAGCAGCGGAGTTGTACACAACAGTGTTGCAGCACACAGGACGGTACAAGCATTTTATTATCAATAACACGAGCTACATGGTCTTTATTTTGTCCAACATGTTAATCTTTTTGTTTTCTTGTTTTTCCATCATTTTGTGTAAGAAGGACTGAAAATTAAAAAACAAAAATAAYACAGAATCTGACTTCTTTGTATCAGATGCTTTAAAAGAACCATTTTTCACGTTTTGTTGGTCTGTTTGCTCTTCAGACTGACTCCAGATTTGTCCGGCAGCTCTGTGGCACAGAGAGTGAAGATGGGAATCGAACCCTTTCTGCGCAGCGCTGCTCTTTTTTTCAACTGTCTCACAGGAATACGTCCTCCAGAGGACCTTTTTAGTACATCTGGTACGTAAAACTGCAAATGTAATGTCGTATTCAAGTACAATATATGAAGCTTTAAGTACTCGGGCTGATGTTTTCTGTTATAGGTAGCCCTCAAGGACACATGGAGGCACTATGCAGTTACTTGGCGCTACCTTTCAATGTATTCCAGCTCTTCCAGGACTACAGAGAGACTGTTTCTCCTCTGCTGCAGAGGTAAATCATTCATGCAGTGTATTCAACTGTGAAAACATGGAGTTTTGTAACCTTAACATTTTGTTTGATTAGGTGGTGCGGAAGCCCAGTTATAACCAAAGCTCTGAAAGGAAAAACTCAGATCGTCAGGTTAGCGTAATCACTCGTGTTATTTCTGCTTCTGTTTTGACTTGTATCAAGCCTCCACTTGTAGTTACTGATTTAATGAATTCTTTCCACAGATATCCAAGGAAAAGGAATCGTTTGATTGATCTTCCTGAGGATTACAGCGCTCTCCTCAATAAAGCCAGCCATTTTCAGTAAGCAGCAATGTCACTTTTTTATATTCACTGAATCTCATTCTGTTGTTGACGTTACGCCTTTCTGACTTGTCTGTGTTCAGGTGCTCAAAATCTACTGAAGATGAGCGAAAGCATCCGACCCTTTGCCTGGTCTGTGGGGCCATGCTGTGCTCGCAGAGCTCCTGCTGCCTCAGCCAGCTGGACGGGGAGGACGTGGGTGCGTGCACAGCCCACGCTGCTACCTGTGGTGCTGGAGTGGGCTTGTTCCTCAGGTCAGTCAGCCTTTTTAAAGATCAGCTTGTTTTTGGCTCTGCATTCTTAGCTGAGGACAAGTTGTTTTCTTCTATGTTGTTGAAGTAAATGAAGTTTTATTTTATATTACCAGGATAAGAGAATGTGAAATAGTCCTGATGGCAAGTAAGACTCGGGGAAGCACGTACCCAGCTCCTTACTTAGATGATTACGGGGAGACCGACCCTCATCTTGGGTAAGAATTTTTCTTCTCGAGTCTTTGTTTTGCTTTTGATCACAATTTTTAAAACAATTGTTATGCTTGGAATTGAAGCTTGTTTTTATGAGTTTGTTCACATGATTAATTGTCATGTGAACAGGGGGAAGTTGAAGAAATTTATTAGTCATGTTAGATACTGATTTTAAAAGCACTACACCATTTCCATAGTTTTCCTTTTTAAGTATTGATTCTTATAATCTATTGTTTGACTATTGTTTTGTCTTGATTAAAATAGGTTTAGATACATGCCTGAAACATCATGACAACACATAATAAAACCGTTTATAAAAACATCAGGAGAGCATTGCTATGTCTTTCATGAGATTTTCAAAAAATGTATACAAAAAATGCTTATTGTTATAAACTAAGTTTTGAGAAGAATTAAAAGAAACTTACAATTCAGAGTGTCTGCAATTCAGCCTTAGGCCTGTAGTGGGCGCACCAGGCACTGAAGAGCCATGTATTTATTGACCGGGACTTCCGGTTTTCATTCAGCGTTGGTTTCATGTCTGCACAGAGAACATTAAACCACCTTTCACTCCAGTAACTGGTGTTGTATGGTCCATCTCTTATGATATATTATGATATAGAGAGAAAAGTCAAAAGTATTCCTAATTATTACCGTATGGTACCAAAAATAAAAAATCTGTCACAATCTCTGCTTTCCGTTTTCCAGGAGAGGCAATCCGTTGCACCTTTGTCCCGAGCGCTACAGGAAACTGAACCAGCTGTGGCAGCAGCACTGCATCCTGGAGGAAATCGCCCGCAGCCTGGAGGTGGTCAACGTTATGTTTGCCTTCGAGTGGCAGCTGGTGTGATCGTTACTCCAGCTGATGGCGGCCAGCAAGTTTACGATCACAGCCATAAAAAAACAACAACAACAAACAAAATAAAYGGTTCTGTCCTCAGTTCAGTGCTCCTAAGGCACAAACACATTTAACATATTTCTTCAATCAAAAAGAGGCCGATCTCTTCCAGAGGTGGAGCTGTCAGAGATGAAAAATACCAGAGGGAGATGGATCAAAACGTAACCAAGTCGCCTTGTTTTAGCTTGATTGCCTGCAGTAAAGATGACTGAAGCTCTCAAACAAAATCAAACATCAGATACACTCTTTAAAAAACTTTTTTTTTCAGTTAACAGATTTGAAAGGTCAGCATTCTCTATTGTGTTGAATAACTCTGCCACATTTATTCAGTTGTTTTGGAGGATGTATTCATGGTGAAGGCTCTGAGCATGGTCACAAATCGGACGTTTTGCCTCCTCGCTGTGTACATGTTCAAAGTTATAGATGTGCAACCTGCTGTCAACTTTACTCATGTATAAACAAATACATAGTGAATAAAACCTATATAAATCCAACTTTTATATTTGTCTGCTTTCAGATAGTGTTTTAGAAAAAGTATACTCACATTTGAAATTATGCGTATTTATAGTTAAAAACCTGTAACTAACTTTTTTTTTCCCTGCTATGATATGGCTCCTAAAAATGTAAAGGAACTTTGGTATGACTTCTCAGTATCTCTCTCTCTCTCTTTTTTTAGTATAAGACTAATAATTAACTGTGTTTGCATTTTGTGTTGTACTACATAACTTCCAGGCTGTGGTAATAAAAACATGAGCCATCTACTGAACTTTTGTTCCAAATGACTGAATCGGTAATTGCACAGGAATTATATTAATTCTGTGTAAATGGAAGACATGTTACTTGTAATAGTCAATCTGTTTTCGTATTTTGCAATTCTCAATATGGAATAATTTCAAATTGGCATAATTAAGCAAGATATAAATAATAAAGGGCAACGACTTTTCTTTTAACCTATGTACTCCATTTAATAGATTATTTCAATGTCAACTTAAGTATTTTTTTCAGCTTTGTTAGATTATCCTAGCAAAAAGTGCAGAATTAGAAGGTAAAATAAGGTCACATTGCTGAGGCATGAGGGGTTTGTTGTAACTTGTTCTCTATTTTAATTTATTCTTAAGTGAAAACATCAACAGTGGTTGATTCTCAGAGTTGTAAAGCAACAAAGTACTGCTGTGCTTAGATGACATTTTGATTATCAGTGCTTGAGTACCGGTAATTATTTTTCAACTGACTTTTTACTTCTACTTCTTATAATATACACGTGTGTGTGTGTGTGTGTGTGTGTGTCCCATCATATCGAAATGAGGATTAAGTCAAATTTGGTCAAAATGACCTCATCACATTTTCAGATTCCCGGCTTTAAAAGCTACATTTTGATTCCTGGATCATTCTGATATTGTTAGTGGATCCAGATATGTGACTTAATTTGTCTTGTTGGTTACAATAATACTTGATCTGAATCCTAATTTTATGTCATTTTAATGAGGAATTTTTGATGTCATTATAAAGGGGAAATGTCAAACATTTGAATATTGAGATTTTCCAGCTGGAAAGAAAGAAAAATATTTCTAGCTCAAAGGGAAAATCTCAATTTTAGGGCGTTTTTGCTCATAATCTTTTTTTTTTTTTTTTGTTGATCCTTCTCAAACAAGTGCTTCAGAATTTTGTTTTATGGTTATATTTCAGACTGTTTATTCAAGTGATACATTGATATTTATTATTTATTATGCATTGACAAAATGTAATTTTTGCAAACGTTTTAATCAAAACACTATTTGCCTATTTTTCCATTTACCACTTTTAGACTTAATCCTCGTTTCGATGTGATTGGTCACATTTCTCCAATCCAGCTAGTCATCTTTCAATAAATAAATAAATAAATAAACCAAAACCTATTCAGATGTATGGCACTTCCCAGACAGTGACTTTAACTGTGATTGGATGAGAAGTATAAATGTATAACATTCTGACACCTTACTGGCTTTCATGTGATCCATCACTCCTGCACGTGACACAAATCACGTCACACTCCAGCAAAGACATATGAGACTTACGAGGCAGAGACATGCAGYTGAAACAGACTAGTGCATCCCAAAGTTTTCAACATCAACATTTTAATATAACATTATAGTCATTATGGCCTTTARAAAGATGTTTTTTTTCTTTTGGGAGATCACCTCCCAATAAATGTCATTTTAGAAATTTTAACTGCTCACTTTTACTCGATACTTTTAAAACTTAAGTACTTCATATAAAAAATTTACTTTTGATACTTAAATACAGTAAATATCTGATATTTTAAGACTTTAACTCAAGTAGAATTCCTAGAGAACACGTTAATTTTTACCAAAGTAATTTTAAAATACTTGTACTTCACTCAAGTATCACTTTGAGGTACTTTATACAACTCTAATTCTGCTCAACAATCAGTTGCATTCTCAAGTAAAAAAAAAAGTCCTCGTGTTCTGATTTCACCCAAAAGCTAAAACGACAAACCAAATAACTAGGTCTCAAATGTAACTAAACCTCAGATGTATATACTACACCCAGAGAAGTAATTCAGTCTGATTCACACCATAAATTAGTTTTAAACTGTATCTAAAGCTGTAGGAAKCATTATGGCCACTTGGTGTAAAACCACACGAGACTGAGGCAACAAGATATTAGTAAACAGTTTACAGTACGGTTTTGTGGTGTACAAGGAACATACGTTGTGAAGTGTACAATAAAAAATAACTTTTTTATGATATCCTATCAATCGTGTCAACAAGTTATAAATCTTGAAACAACAAAAACAAAGTCCTCTGAACAATTAATGCTCAGTTTAAATGTTTAAACAGATGCAACATCAGGAGCTTACTGTTTGTGAAAGTTTGTTTCATCGGTTATTCAACATGTTTTTAGTTACTTCAAATGATTGAAAAAAGGTTGTATTTTTATTTATCCTTCTGTATTGTGTTTTGGTGGAACGTTGTCTGGTCCGTAGTGCGCCTTGGACGTGGACGGGACGTCGACGTTGGGGTCTCGGTTGTGGCCTGCGTCGATCTGGTTGTTCTTGCCAAGGTTCTTGATGATGCTCAGGTTGGTGCGGGCCGTTTCCATGAGGCTGGTTTCCAGCAGCCAGCCGTCAGAGTCCGAGTTGGGGTCCCCCTGTCTCAACACATTCTCCAGGGAGGTCTGGAGGTAACGGACCCCTGTCAAAACTGACAGCTGGAAGAAGACGGGGACATTTATTGAAGATGAATGAAGACAAATCATGATGTAAATATAGATATGCTGGTATTTGTTCTAACAGGGTCCCAGGAAAACTCCTTTCATGTTGCTGGTGCCACCAGACTAAATGCTCCTCACCTCAAACAGCCAGGTAATGAGGACTGTGAGTCCAACAGACTGCATGATGTGGGTGTAGTACTCCAGCAGGGCCTGGCGGCACCCTGTCATCCACAGGTTCAGCTCCTCGGTCTGGTGCTCGTAGTTGTAGTGGGCAGAGTTGTTGGTGATCTGCTGCTGGATGCAGGGCCGCGGGGAGTTCAGGTTACAGCAGCTGAAGGGAACTCCATCCATCAGGTACTTCCCTTCAACGTTACTCCTCAGTCGGCTGAAGAGCAGGAAAAAAGGTCAAAGGTCAGATTCTGTCTGATAAATGCAGCATCAGCAACCTTGTAATGATATTATGGTTTTGGGTGACCAAATGAACGCGTAATATGACTTTTACTCCATTAATTTTACAGAAATCCACCTCAAATGTGGTGTGATAACATCTGAGACTGACAACCCCGCCGTATTCTAGGAGCTAACAATATACGACTTTACTTTTAGAATAAACTATGACTGTTAGCGAAATACATCATTAACCACTGGAAATATTTTAATGAAACTTTCTGAAAATAATCACTGGATGCACGTCTGCAACCGATTATCTTTTGGAAGCAACCTAATTCAGCATGGTTACCTCAGCCCACTGACCTTAGAAAACACAATAAAGGCTAATTCAGTCAATTTAGCTGATCTTGACCTTAAATTTGGTGTGGTGGTTGTATATGACAATCAACCCCAAAACATACTTTAAGTGCTCTTCATAGCAATTAATTTTTGAGCTTAAAACTTTAAAATTAACTGACGAAGTTAACACTGTTTGCTTGTCAGCAAAATATCTTACAAACCACTGACTGAGTTTTCACAAAACTTTTAGAAAGTAAAAATCTGATTTACATTTACAGCTGCAGAGTCAATACAATTCAAGGTGATTGCCACAGCTAGTTGATATTGGCCAACAAACGTTATCAGTGAGTCAGTTTGACAGATTTTGAGGTCAAATTAGCATTTTTTTTTGCACTTGACATCTTACAGTTTCATGGCACATGACATTATTTTCAAGGTTTTACCACAATGCTGTCATTTCTCAACAAAAGTTGATGTTTCTTTACAAATCTGGAGTAAAAGAAGCCAGGTGACATGCATTTCAGCAAGGCCTTTATAAGTAATGTACTCAGTAATAAAGTATGTACTCTATTCTGGTTCTGCTCTTTGTAACTTGCATGTGCTAATTTTAGCTTCTTTTGGCTTATATTTAGCTGATTTTTTCCTGCTTGTTTATCTATCATTCTGACCTTTTCTGCTATTCTTCTGCTGATTTCAACTTTCTTTTTCTGCTACTTTAAACTTTTCTTTGGTTACTTTCATTTTTTTCCTGCCCCTTTCAGCTATATTTATTTTTACTTTTTATCTGCCTGTTTCTGCATTTTACTGTTCTTTTGCTTTGGCATTTTGGGTTTCACCTTAACTGTTCAAATTCAGCAAGCATTAATAGTTCAGTTTAAAAATATTTTAGCTTCAGCAGCTTTCAGCTAAAATTATTCAAAATAAGCATTCACTTATGGGGCGCCAAGTGTAAAATGAAATGTAATAAAATTTCACTTACAGATTTTTCATTTTTCAGTTCACTTTTTGAGTGTTAAAAGATTTCCACTAACATTTTATTGTTACTTAGCTCACTGTTCTCACATTTAGCAAATTTTTACTAAACGTTAAATTTAAACATTAAAAAATAAATTTAAATATTAAATCCTAAATCTAAATGTTTAAATCTAAATGTAAAAGTTAAACCTTAAATTTTGAATTTCACATTTAGGTATTTTGGAATGGAATGCAGCCTTTGCTGTTGGTGCTCGGCTCATGTTATGATGTCATCATCTTGAGACAATAGCAACCGCTAGCACTCTAATGCAGCTACAGCTTCCATACAGGACATCAAGCTTGCAGTTATGTCTGGTTTCTGAGCTGCACTTCAAACTGCTGGACCACAGGTAGCACCCATATTGTTTTATGAACATATTTTGAATTTAGATTTTAAAACTCTTTAGAAGTGTTTAAAGCGTTAGCAGAAGTTAGCGTCAGCTAACCCAGATGAAGTCATCATCCTGCGACAAACATCAAGAATGGCCTCCACTAACCGCCACTAATCTTGCTGAAGAAGTTCCATTCCAAAATACCCAAATGTGAACTTCAACATTTAAGGTTTAACTTTTACATTCAGATTTAAACATTTAGATTTAGGA